GTTTTGATGATTAGAAAAAAATAATAATAAAAAAGTGGGGAGTTTTTTTGTAACCATAGAATAAGAGATAATTTTGTAATTATACTTGTATTTGCTCAAGAGGAAATTAGAAGCTTCTTCTTTCTATTTCTTTTTATTTTTTCCACACTTTTGCCCTTTTCTTTTTTTCTCTTTCTCTTTGCTTTCTTTATTCTGTATTAATGTTTGTTAGTTTTTATCTTCTCTTTAAATCTTTTAATACAATTTATTTTTAAAAAAACATAGAACATTAAGTATTCACCTGCACTTATTACCACTGAATACTCATTTGTTTTTGCTTTCGTTTGAATTTTGTAAATTTGTAGAGGTTGCTCATTACCATACTTCTTTGGGATTCTCATACAACAAAGAATAAATGACAACAAATAATAAATAGTTTCTTCTCTTCCACCAAAAGATCTATTTCGCATGAATTTTGACCTGTTGACATCTTCACTGTGACTTTAGTTAAAAAGAAATCACAACATAGAGGTGTTCTACCAATTAAATTAGTAGAATATCAAAACTAGGGTGTTATGCTGGTGTGAAAGATTACAGCAACAATTTTGCAAAGAACACAAATGTTAAATTGGAATAAAATGTAGGACAGGAAAATACTATTTTTGGTGATTTGAATGATCCCATGAAACCAACCTGAAATAATGAATATTCCAATCCTTTCATTTGTTTTAACTATTTGTGGTCAGTATATGAAAATAAAACCAAATAAATTAGAAGCCAATTTTCTTTTCCTATTTTTTCTTTTTCTTTTGAAGGGGTGAAAAAATACCTTGGCAATTGCAAACAAGACAAGTGAATCTTTCTTTCCTGACAGCTGTAGGTTAATCAGAGTGACAAATTTCCTCTGCCATTCACCATCACAAGGCATCAGTGGAAATAAGTGTTCCCAGAGCCAGATCTTATAGAAATGTCTTGCTCAAAATTCTATGGCCTGAGCCTTCCAGAACTGTAGTGGAAGGAGGGATCAGCAAAAACAGGAAGTTTCTTTGATAGATTTTGAGTGATTTCCCAATGCACTCATAAGATATATTTAAAGCTTTTCAACATTCAGTAGATTCTCTCCACCCTCACAATCTTCTGGAAAGACTCTTTTGAGAACTGCAGGAAAGAATGGGAAGAATAAGATTCAGTGTGCAATTTCCCTTTCTATTTGTACTTAAAGGGCTTAGTAAATATATTCATTCCTACCAGGGGATGGGGGCAAGGGAGAGTGAAATAGAATTCTTCCATTTTTGAGCTTTGATATCACATGATTGCATGCATCCACTTTCATTTGACAGTTGAATCATTTTGTTTCTTATAGCCACATATCTGAACGTCTAGATAGCATTTAGCCTCAAGGTGCCTGAGCAAAGTGTGACAAGCATAATTAACTGATTTATTTTAGGGCACAATTTCCTTATTTAATCTTAGGGACATTTAGCTCAGCCCAAATAGTATCATGGCCTTGGTTAGTAAAGTATCAACTGATGGCAACTGGACTGCCAATAAATAATAGCTAGCTAGAAAATTCTGAGGAAGCAATTACTGTCTTTCTATACACCCATCGCTTAGGAATGTTTTGAAACATTAAGAGGATTGCATAGGGACAAATCAGTGCTGAGAAGTCACTTAAGTTGTCATGCAAATTTACAGATAAACACATGTACTTGTCATATAGTTTTCCTGGAAGCAGTATAACAGTGTTTTGCAACTGACTTCTTCCAATATGTTTAAAAAAAAAAATAAGTGCAGTCCAGCCTACAGAGATTTCCCATTTCAGTATTAACAAGTTCTGATCCTGTGTGTGAGCCCATACAATGTTCTCTGGCTAATTAAAAAATTAAGAAAGCTATCTGGTCAGTTAAGAAGGGTGGCCAGGCCAAGTACACAACTTTCAACTACAGGAGCAAGGCCTCCAATGATAGCACAAGTAAATACAAAAACAGCATCCTTCTCATTTGGATGTGGCACAGCCCTACCATAGCAACAATCTGCACTCCAAGACATAATGGTAGTAAAACTAGAATCATTTAAGTGCACAATTACCATATGCTTCAATATTCTATGCACAGCAGCAAGGCAAAGTGAAATTCCCAAAGAAGATACTGTTTTATGGAAGAACCTAGTACGTCAGGGCCCTGAGGTCTGAGAACAATTTAACACCACACATGTAATTTCCACATATGTAATTTAAACCTGAGTACAGAACAAACTCATATGTGAGGCGGTTAAATCAGCATTTTTAGTTAGGGTCAGCAGGCAACTCTGACAGTCAGATACAGAGGTGCTTCATTAAATAGAACAAACATAAAATCTCAGGTAGATATTTTTAGTTTCACTAATTTCTACTGGCATCAACAGACAGAGGTTTTCCAAATCCACAGAATGCTACACAACTTAGAAAGACGATTCTAAAATAGTAGCTGCATAGAGATTATAGCTGCTTATCGGTAAAGTAAAATCTACTTAACTAAATAGTGGCCTAACCACATATCACTTATATAATGTGATAAAGATGAGTTCCTAATCACAGAGAAGCTTCTGTATGCATTTAGCTGAAACGTCGATGGTCATTTAAATCTGATAAAATAAATAAATAATTCTGAAAAAAGGGGAACAGGTATTTTTGTGGTAGAGGTTGTTGCTTTAAATAAAGCTCAGTATAAAAGATAGGACTATGCACACTCCCAAGATACCTCTAGCAGAGAGTATCCCCTGTGTTTATTATGGCTTATTCAGATGAAACCGAACATCGTTGCCAAGTGAATGAAAAGGAGAATCATCTTGCACCATGATGGTAATAAACTGATTTGCTCTTGAGAAACAGAGAGTTGTAATAGAAGTGCATATTGACTTTCATCTTCCTTCTGGTGAGAAGAATGAAATGTCAAGAGTTACCATTTTAATATCAGCCAAGATGAGTCCATTTGTTGTAGTGTGGGTGGATCCAGGAAATTGTTTGAACCATGTTGCTAAAGACTGATCTACACTTTATTAAATCACTTTATTCTTCTTTTTTTTTTCAAAAATGCAGTGACTTCAGCACATCAGTCAAGCAGCCATATATATCATGTCCAAAGATTTCTGAAGAATGCTTGAGTGGGGATATCTCACTAACTGGGGTGAGATAATATTTGAGTGATGTTGACTCTGATATAATTCCATCTGAATACTGAACATTTTTACAGATTTCAGATGTACCATGAAAAAACTTCAAAAGCTGGCTCACTATCCCTTAGTTTCCCAGATTGTATAGGAATGAAAGAAATAAGATAATGAAGAAGGAATTCCAAATTGTTCACTATTATTTGCAATCCGAATTATATGTGGACAGTTGTACTTGAGCTCTTTATATAATGCCCCATCTCTTGAACCTAATAATTTAAATGAATCAGTGCTATCTGGGTTTCATGATGTAAAAGAGCCAGACCTGTGACAAGCAACTGTGATAAATGGTTGTAAGCATTTTATGGATACTGGCTAGCAATTTAAGAGACATAAGAGTCTCAAAACAGTTTTTGTCTCACTGAAGATAACAGTGTTTATTTATTTATTTTTTAAAGATAAGGACTATCACATAAAGATAAATTAAAACACACACACACACACACTGGTTCAAGTATCAGTGATACTCCAGGATTGTGGAGAATCAAAGTAAAAGGGAAAATAAACCTTTGTAAAAGTATTGTGTAAATAATTAGATTGCTTAATAAGTTAATAAATAGATTCCTTAATAAGTGCTACTCATAAAATAATTCTATACATGCTAAAAATACCTAAACTTCAACATGCCTTCCTAAATGTAAAATGTGCAGTATAAAACATCTGTTGCTTGCTACTATTTTAATCAGAGTATATGTGCTTACTGGGGTTTACTTCCTTTGGTCTAGTTAAAAATGTAAAGCAGGCAATTAATAATTATTTTTCAGAAGCATTTCATATGCACTTTGACAAAAGCATGGTGTGCTTATTATATACATTGAATGTATAGATTGTTTTGGACTGAATTCTCAGAGATATAAGGTCTACCCCCTGTGCTATATAATAAAATATATAGGAAAGTGATTAGCTAGGGAGTGACTGTGCTAATGTCTCTATCAACAACACATGCCACTGGCAGATCTCAAGGAAGTAGCTGTAAGACAACTTGTCCTGAAACCCTAAATGGACTCAACAAGGATAATTATCAGTTTCAATCGATTTTTTAGGAATAAAGCACTGGCAAGATAGTGGCTTTCCTAGATGAAACTGATTTTGTGGAATCATTTTATTTGACTTCTAGCCTGAAATGGTCTAAGTTGTATCGATCAATTTCTATAGCCAAGAATTAAACAGGGTAAGAGATCTATTTTATCCATCAGTTTGTTTGTTTGTTTTTTAATTTCTACATGACATCACTAGAAGAGTGTTACGCACCATGCCACTGGACAAATTATGCTAATGGCACTTGAGTTTGTCTCTAAGAATCTGAAGAAACCTGTAGGTCTCCTAAACAAACTTTTCATGTCATTAATGGACATAGATGAATTCAACATATTTAAAATAAAACTGAGCTGGATGGAGATACTCCCAGTCAATAGGCAGGATATCCATTTGGATATTTAAACGAATATTGGAAGGGTTGCACTTCAAATTGTAACTGTTCAACTTGATCTTAAGCCTGCAAACAGACATGGGAATAAAAGCATTCAGAAAATCCAGTTGGCTTACATGTAAGCATTGGCACCAGGTATAAGAATTCACAGGATTCACTTATCAAATGATTTAAAAAATCAAATCTTACTCTTCACACTGTTAAATTCATGACTAAAATAGTAATTTTATGCCTAGTAATTAACAAATAACTTCCCAAATTTGGCAAATTCAGTTTTTGTTCTGAATTTTATCTTGGTGATATTTGAAAAACATGGATCTTAAAAAAAAAGAAGAAGAAGAAATGGCCTGAAAACATAATTAGGAACACAAAAAATTAAACTTACCTGAATGGTAGGTGTGGAGCGATTTTTTCGTGTTGTAGTAGTGGCCATAGTAGTGGTAGTTTCCATGACAGTGGTGGACATCTCAGGTGGCATAGAGGTTGTGGGAGCTGTCCCCAGAATAGATGGCACTTCACCAACCAGCCGAACACTTCCATTGATTTTGATGTTTGGGTTGTTTTCTGCTGCCATATTCAAGACTTTCAAGCCATTGTAATAAAGACCGGAAAGCTGACCTTGGAAGAGACGCCCTCTATCTTTTCCTCCAATGGCTATTTGAGCCTGGGTGTTGAAGATCGTTAACTGTCGTCCTAAGTGAAGGGGGGTAAATAATGTTATTGCCAGTAATATTGTTTCCCCTTTTTAAAAGCAAACTGTTTATGCTATGTTCTGGTTGAATGGGTTGAAGATCAGAGCAAGTTTTCTGACATTGGTGGTGATGGCTATTGTGATGGCTGAATGACTGGAGGACAATATTACAAACAACTATCTCAATGTGTAATAAATTAGGATAAACCAGATCAAACAAATAACAACAATAGATCCAGATTTTCTTCGTCTTATTCCCATAAATGTGAACACATTTAGCAGAAGCCAGGATTTCAAATTTCACCTGTCAGGAACTCAATCCAGTTTTAAGACCAAGCACTTTACAAATCTTTTACTGAGAACTTGGGAGAGTTCAGATCACTAAAACTATTCTAGTCGTTGCATATTATGCAATTGAAGAAAACTGGATCCTTGCATGGACTGAACACAGATTTAGTCTTGTCCTATGACTTGGAAAAAGATGAAATACATAAACATACATTAAGAGATGAATAAATATACCCTTACAACATAAAAAATATATAGTTCTGAATGAGGAGGTTATAATCTATAGTCAAATAAAGTGTAACTCCAAGACAATATTGGATTATCCTTGCTGTAGAAGAAAAATGTATCTTAAAATGAAATTAATATGAACAAAGAATTCTATACTTTGGGTACCTCACTCTCACAGTAAAACTGTGAGCATAATCATCTCAAAGTGAAGTTGGGGGAATCAGACGACCCACTGTAACACTACTCAAAATAATTCTTTTATGCAGAAAACTAAATTTGAGGGAGAAGGGTTTTCATAGCCTTCTCTTTAATATGTGAGCCCCAGCTATGGTTTAAGTATCAGTTCCTAGACACAGGTTTACTTCTAAAATGTAGCCTATGCTTTGAGTAGCAACCAACTTATTGGAGGGACACTTTGAAAAGAGAGAACAGGATGGTGAGCCTGGGCTACACAAGTATCTCAAAGTGAACTGTTATCACGTTCCACAGTATCCACCGACCAACTTTCTCCAAAAATCACTTTCTTCTCCAGGGCTAATGATGTGTCAGAGACCCAAATTTGACCCAGGACTGCTGACATCTCATATCTGGCTAGAGAGTACAGAAATCAACACCGTGAATCTGATCGAGTTCCTTGAGATTTCAGAAGTGAATTTCCCAATTCCTTAAAGGAACACAGGAAGAATGCAATTCTAGTCAGAATGAATCCCACAAACAATGGCCAATTCTTTGTTCTACACACAAATCAAGCACATATTCACTCCATTAATTCAAAAAGACATTTCAAAAATTGATAGACATTTTCCCTCTGTCTTGTTCTTGCCCCATCATTTCTGGAAAATTATCAGAAATTATCAAGAATTACATTCCTTGTATATAAGATTTCTGTGCATTCAGTTTTCCAAATGACAGCTATAAATTTCATATGATAAATCCAATATGTAAGCTCACCCTGAATTTAATATTTATTAGTGTGTTTTAGATTTTATTAAATGTAAATGTCCATTGAATAAAGAAACATACTAACCACATTTCAGAAAATAAAGCAGAATTAGTATTATTTCATTCAATCCAGTTCTCCCAACATTTACACACACATGTCCATTCCCTCCCCTCCTCCATTGCACACTCACCACTTTCTTTCTCTGTTCCACCCTGAAAAATGCCAAATTCCACTGTGTAGTAAAGTAGAATCTAAACCCCATTACTGATTCCCTGTGATTAAAGTAGATCAGAATAGGAGGGGGAGCTCACCAATTTTGGTCGTCGTGGCAGGTCTCGAAGTCAAGTGGTGATGCGGTGTTGCATCATCTAATGGTGACAGGATGGGTCATGGGGAAGAGAATTGGGACAAGAGAAGAAATGTATCTGAAAGGAATTCCTATTCCCAAGGAGGATCCTAGCTAACCAAGCAAAGTAGATGTTTATGTGAAATGCTGAGAGTTTGAGGAAGTGGAATGCACATCTTCATGTGCTCTCCACTACCGTAACAAGAAACAGATCTTCATTAAGCAAAGATGGACTAGTGTACAAATGTAAAAACAGCAAATTAAAAGAAAAAAAGTGAAAGGATTGATATACTCTTTCCTTGGAAAGCAATTAAATCTTCATTTTTGAAATCTGTTGCAAGATCTGTTTCCTCTCATGCCCTTTTCTCTTTGTCATATAGATTTGTTACATATATCTTCAGGAGTGGCACGTTGCATTTATCTGTGGTGTGAGAGAATAGTAAATCTGGCTAGGCTCAATTATTTTATATAAAAATAATTGCTTTAGTGATCATCTCACTTATCAGCCATTTTTAGATTATAGAGATGATTGTAATAATATGGCTATGTTCACTGCAATCTCTTTCAAGTAATGACATGATGGTATCAGCTATCACATGGAAAACTCTGATGGGCTCCCATTAAAGCTGGTCATACAGTTCTATTCACAGGATTTTTTTTCAGAGATACTATAACATTAAAAACTGCCTTTTTCTATTTATTCTCATGCAGTGTCATCAGCTGGAAAATGACACTTAAGGCAGACACTTTGTTATCAGTCTCTGACTTTTCTATAAGGAAAAGAATGTATAGGCTATTCAAGTACCACAGAATTCCACAAAAATTAGAATTTCTGCTCAAAAGTTACCCATGTTATTTGAACTGATACATTTCTGAAAGGAATTAATCAATTCCCTTGAGGAGGTCAAAATATATGGCTTGGGGAAAGTTTCCTAGCCTGGAAAGCCGTGATATCCCTGAAGTAATTCAGATTTGCAGTTTGAAAAGTCTCATCCAGCCTTGAAATCCTGCAAAAGCTCTTCTCTCAATTCCTTCAGATGTTGATAGCTTTCCACAATACAGAACAGTAGTTTTTCACTTGTAAGAGCCACTCTTTTACTTCTATTTTCCCTTGTGCGCTTTTCTATCCCTTTCTCTGGAGTTCAGAAACAAAAGGAGCAGAGAGGTGATGAGATTTCAAAACTTATGACCAGATTCTATGACAAACAGCTAGAAAATGGCCTTTTAAAAAATAACTTCTAGAGACTGGACAAGTGATCTATATAATTTCCTCCAGTCCTTTCCAATCTATTCTCTCTACAATAGACCAAAGGCTGCCATGAGACCCAACTGGTATTCTGATAATGGCTTTCTTCAGTTCTAATGAACACCAAAGCAAAGTTAGTAGATTCCATTAAACACATACTTTTGATTTCTTTAACAGTCCAAGGAGACTGGGGGAAAGCAAAGACAAAAAACTACTATACCCATCATCTGGAGATCACCAGAGGATGGGTAGGGTATAATTGTCATATAGCATTTAGAGTAAAAACTGCACTTGTTGAATTTACTTCTAGAAGACTTGTTATTCACAGAATACATTTATAGGGCTGTGCAGTGTTTCTGAATCAAAGGGGGAGATGTGGTTTGGAAAGAACATAGGTGTGCATATAGCGCCTGTTGGAAACACCTTCAAGTAGCTGTGTTTTTTCCTGGGGTTTTGCAGCTGCCCTTTGTATCTGCTACACAATCCTGGGAACAGATTTATTTGGTTTAAGGAGTTTCCAACAAATCCTACATGCAAAGCCAACATGTTCTGAGTCATGGTTCTTCCTTTGAATCCAAAATGCTGCACAGCCCTACACGTTCTCTTCAGAGTGTCATAAGTGGACAGCTTTCAAATGCAGAACTATGGAATGCCTTTGGAAATTGAAAGAGACTATTAGGCCATTGACTCCAGTCCTTGTTTAATTCTGGAATCCAAATTAAAGGATCCATGACCGTTATCTATTCTGACTATATCTGAACATATCCAATGAAGGGGAGCATCGCCTTCCTAGCTAATGCTTCCACTTTCCAACAACCTTGACTAATTTGTTTTGAGATAGAGTTGAATGTGTCAAAGGTAGACTGTGCATCTTATTTTTTTTCTTAATGAATTTCTTCTATTCTTAGTTGGTAGGGACTGTTAGAGTCGGCCTATATACTCTAACAGTGCTTAGCTTATCCAAAAAACTCAGATCTAGCCCCAGATCTAGTACATTCTGCCTCATGGCAACATCCCCCCAGATATACATATGGCTCCCACTCTTCAAGTGTTCTGGAAGTCTCTGAAGACCTGGCTCTGTTTCCAGGCCTGTGGCTAGAGTGTTTGTGGAGCCCTCACAACTTTTGTGAAGTTTATTGATACGGCTTTGACCCAGTGGTCAAGTTTTTTAAATTATGTATTTTAAATATTGTAAGCCACCCAGAGTCTTTTGAGAGTTATGCAGCCTCAAAGTCCAATAAATTAATTGAATTGACTAGCTATTGAGATTAGTGGTATTTCCGTCATGCTCTGTTCATTAAGTTGTTTCACAGAGCTATTCTACATAAGATCAAACCAAATTTGGATTTCATCTTTTGGTTGCTTGTTGTTGCTGTTGTTGCTAAACAAGCGTGTAGGACCCCAATCTAGTTCAAAACCATTGTGAATGGGCAAGAGAGGTTTAAATATTTACTTGGGTGTTGCTTTCCAAAATCGGTGTCCTCCAATAGGAGTTTAAAAAGGCTGTAAAACTCCATTGGTGCTGGTGTGTGAGGGAGAGCAACTGAACATGTGTAAGCAAATGAGAAAGCTTTATTTTATTTTCTTATTCTTTTTTCTCTCTCTTAGAAGTAGAACCATGCATATTGTTCCAACATCCTAGATACAATGACCTGAAAGAGATGACCTAATTTTTTAAAAAGAAAATGCATGTGTTTTTTATTCTTGATGGTTTCTTCTTCTAGCGAGCTACAAAGGCATGCAACACAGAGCACAGCTACATTTTATAACAAAACACTGACATTAAAATTGTGTGTTTGCTAAAAGGACAATCACATGTCTCTAGAGGGATCTGCTTTTAACTAAAACCTCTTGTGTGAAACGTTTTTACTTGATGATCAAGTGGAAAACAATGGGGAAAAAGAAAGAAAAATGTAGAGGAAACATGCATAGTTGAAATGTCACGTCAGAC